GTCCATCCCCCAGGGAGGAGTTATATGTCATCGGTTCCCCCTTTCCATCCTATCTTCCTTCCACCCGCCACGCATTGCCACTCTCACCACTGGTCCTGAAGGGGTCATCTGTCCTAGATTCCCTGTGTTTTCAGTTCCTATCTGTACCAATGTACATCCTCTGGTCTAGCCAGATTGGAAAGGTAGAATTGGAATCATGATAGAGAGGGGAGGAAGCATTTAAGAACTAGAGGAAAGTTGCATATTTCATCGTTGCTACCCTGCAACCTGAATGGCTCGTATCCTCAAGACCCTTCTGTAAGGGGATTTCCAGTTGCCTACAGCTGAGCTTTGGGTCTCCTCTCTGCACTCACCCTCATTTATAATGATATTATTTTTGTTCTTTGATGCCTGATACCTGATCACTTCGACACCTCGTGATCACACAGGCTGGTGTGCTTCTCCATGTGGACTTTGTTGCTTCTCTGCTAAATGGCCGCTTGTTTATCTTTAAGCCTTTAAGACCCCAGATGCTATATCTTTTGATAGCTGGCACCATCAGTTTTCTTTACCACATTTGCTTATGTATCCACTTTGTCTTCAGTGATCGTGTCGGGAAGGTGAGCATCATGGAATGCAAGTTTAAGAGAACAAAGTGTTCTTGCATTGAGGGAGTACTTGAGTAGAGACCCAATGTCCATTAATACTAACCCGGATAAATATATGCACATAGATCTATTTCCCCATCATCATATAAAAATATATTTACATATGTACATACCTGTATTTAGACCTCTATAAAAGCCCTTGCCTCCTAGTTCTTTACTCTATTTCCTTTTACTTTCCTCATGTCCCACTATCATGCTCAGCCTTCATTTGGGTTTCAGTAATTCCTCTCATTTGGAGTTTTTTCTTAAAGATTTATTATCTACAATGGTTCATTCCTTTATTTTACATGTAATGTTAGTTTTTTTAAATTAACCTGCAAAAAATAAATTATGCCTATATATTCATTATGTCTTGAACAGGTGATTAAGAGAAAGCCTGATGTATGTAAATCATTACATTTCTTTTTTTAAAGCAGTGGCCATATAAATGTATAAAGCAGAGATCATATCACCAAACCAAACAAACTATAAAGCAATCAATAACTTACGGCATGATCCAGAAATTCAGGATAAGCTTGTTGCTAAGGACTTATTAGCTAAATAATTACATCAAAAGAACATGGTTGCCAGTATATCTGGATTTACTGCTTACACAAGTTGTGTGAGACAAATACCCTTAATTAATGAAAGCATATGGAGAATATGGGTGATTTTGTTTAATCAGACTTATGGATTGATATTAAAGCACATTTTGTATTCAACTTCTTTATTCTATAACCATGTTTGACACAGCCATGCTCCTAAGAAATAAAAAGAAAAATACTTTTTCTTATAAATTCAAGTACCAAACACCTAATGGCATGACTACAGATCACTGGAGTCAAAAGATGTTTTTTTAAAACCTAATTAAAGTTATGTGCCACAGCAACAGATCTGAAGAACACCAAGTGAAGTAGGATAACGAGGCATAGAAACTAAGGAAAATTTGGAAAAGAGGGAATATTCAACAGTATGCAAAGCTTTTAACAAATCAAAGAAGCAGTAGTCTAAAACTCATCCCATCAGAGCTAGAGACACGAATGCCACGAGGAACACTGAGAGCTGTTTGTGTTTCCAAATGTCCGCAGGGCTGAAGACAAATTTGAGTGGTTGAGAAAATGTGGTGCAAGCCAAAGAGTAAAACTACAAAAGGGAGAATAATCAAGCAAAACAAAAAGAACTGGAAAATGCACTCATGAAACATTATTAATACTTGAATGTTTTGAAAAGAAAACTGAAAATAATTAATATTATTCACAATAATATAAACCATCTGAGAATTCACACTTTTCAAATGTTTTGGTATAAAAGCTACCTTACTACTATTGGGAATCTGAGGGCAAAATTACCTTTCTGTACATAACCATAGATCATCAGACCAAAAGGAATCCTGTACACTGTAGTGCCTATTTCACATGGAAACCCCTTAAGCAACAATAGGCTAGCAGCAATTTTGGTTAGACACAACAGGATCCAAGTACAAATTATTGGCAGAACTAGGAAATCAAGTATACCTTCCTCTGAGGTTGAGATGCCAATTATGTCCTCCACTGAAACGCCTTCCTTAGGAAACTAAACCCTAAATCAGTGGTTCTCAACCTTCCTAATGCCACAACTCTTTAATATAGTTCCTCATGTTGTAGTGACTCCCAACCGTAAATTATTTTTGTTGCTACTTCATAACTGTAATTTTGCTACTGTTATGAATTGGGTGACTCCTGTGAAAGAGTCATTTAACCTCCAAAGGGGTCCACAGGTTGAGAACCGCTGCCCTAAATGGAATTGCTCTACAGGGACTTAATCCTCCAACTATGTCCAATTAAGTAATACTGGGGAGACAACTGGCCCAAGTGCCAAATTCTTTCTCTAAACTCTCAGAGAAGTGAGTCGGACTGGAAAAGGATCACATTAGAAGAAGGTCCTGGACAGACTAAGAGAAAATGTGGGATGAAACTCAAAATCACAAATGAGTTGGATAGAGACTGGTGGGACAACCCCCCCCCCACTACCCCCCACACAAGATGACCATGGATAAAGTGCAGAAGGGTTAAGAAAGGAGAGGAACTTTAAGGAGAAAGTAAGTGATTTTACATTGTGGGAAATGCATTCCATGACAAGAACCAAAATGTGTATGAATTGCTGAATGGAAAATGAATTTCCTCTTTATACCTTCACCTAATTCACAATAAAAGTGAAATTAATAAATTATAGGAACAAAAAAGTTAATTAAAAAACCGAATCCAAAGAAGAAAATCATAAAGATTTATGTAAACATTTAAATCAACAACTAAGAAAATTTGATAACAAAATTTACTCAGCACAAAAATAAAGAAAACACATTAACAAAGAAAAAAAGAGATGAGTCAGCTCTTAAAGAGTGGGGGAGGTGCATGATCATAAAGACTCAAAGGTTGATGTGGCACTTTCTAGCTGCCAAAAAGAAAGCTGATGTGCAGAGAGAGATGAGATTAAAATGGATTAATAGAAGCGGAAGGGAAGAGATACACTCGAGCTTCAAAAGGCTGATAAAAATTCTAATACCTTCAATTCCATTATTCCACAAAATGTTAAAGCCTCCTCATTTTCTCATCAGGCATATAAAAAGACTAACAATGGTATCACCACATTTAAGTGAATGTAACCATATGCACCATTTAAAGTGAGATGAAAAGTTAAAGAGAAAACATTAACTATTCACTTTGCAAAATGAAAGTGGGGTGGATCACTTTAGATAGTGAGCACTTATACTCAATGAGCACAGTGAACATCTAAGGAGAAATTAAGTGGGTGCCAGTTCCTATGTGCCTCATACTGAGTTTTTAAAGATACAATGTTTTCATTCTCCTTGGCCACAAATGCAAGTCAACTATTTTGTCTGTGGTAAACCAACTCACACCTTAAGATTTATGAGAAACTGAAAGTCTCTTCAAAAAGAATTTTGACCTGATGAGAACTGCACCCAGGTTCCAGAGTCAGAATCAGCTTGATGGCAGGGGGTTTGGGCTTTAGTTTGCAGTCTTAAGAACCTAACCTCTAGTAAGTGCAGCTTCTCTCCACAAAAGCCTGATAAAACATGTAGCTCAAGCTAGCCACGTCAGGGTTACTGTAATAGTATTCTAAGAAGCTCCCCTACAAACTCTCTCACGCCTTTTTCCTTAGAGTTAATTTGAGCATTCCATAGACTCCGATGGTCCCTAAGTGATCCTTTTCATCTCAGTGACCACTGTCCGTGCGCAACAGGACTCAGTGGATGGGCGTGCAGCACTGTGGGTAGAAGCTTCAGTGTCAGACAGATCTCTGGCAAGCCCTCTGGCTTAGTTCTGTGATTTTGGCCAAATTATTTAACCCCCACAATTCTCAATGGCCTTATTTATAAAATAGAGTTAATAGTGCCAACCTCATAACATTATTCTGAAGAATGAATGATAACGTACATTAAGCATTTAGTATTATGCTTTGTGTGAGTCCTTACTTTTTTGAAAATTTAATCAAATGGAATGCAGAAGGGGTTACGAAGAAATGGAGAAGCAGGCACTCTATTTGCAAATTATCAGTGGGTGTGTGTACAGTATTTTTTTCTTGCCTTAAACTTCTGTTTAAGTCACTGTGGCAAATTACAACTTCTTTTAGAAAGGAAAAATCCTACTGCAGCTATGCCCTTAGTAGATGGTTTCACAATGCTTGCCATACTTTATAAATACGTAGGGTTAAAGAAAAAAATTCCCTTTAAATAGAAATGGCACCTTCTAAGACTCAGGCTTCCCAGAAACAAAAAGAGTTCAGCTGCATGGTTAAACATACTCCTTCACTCAGATAAAGAATCTGTAAAAGAACTTATTTTGGCAAGGAGAAAAAGAGCCCTAAAACGAGTAATGATAACTTTTCAAACACAAAGAGAAGTGAATAACAGGAAGGGGTGGACGTAGGCGTGAAGACTAGGCAATGGTAGGCTTCGGTGAATAGCATTTTCAGAAGTCTACTTTTTTACAGAATAAACAAAGCATCCTGATGAAAATGAATGAAAGCACAGATTTTCAGGGATTCTCCTCAGAACTAATAAAAGCTCTTATCCCTTCATATTTTTTCTCCTCTGGAAAAATAAATAAGTAAAAGCAGTAATTTGCTACTGAGATCGAAACAGAAGAATAGGAAAAAAGAGAGATCTAATTGACCTCCCCAAACTTACGAACACACACATGTGTTATTCTTGGTTTATATGGCAAAGATAATTTCTTTCAACTTGTATTACCACAGTTCTGTATCACCAAAATATTTGGTGTCAGAATTTAAAATAAGGTGTCTACATAAGCCAGTATTATTAATTCACATTTCTTATGAGTCAAAAACTCCTACATTATTAAACTTAATATTTACCTGAACTTCTGAATTGGAGTCAACAGGCTGTAGTGAAAACCAAGTTTCTCTACCACTATGGTTGCATAAGTCTTCTTTTTTGATGGCTACTTTTCCTGCAGGAAATAAGTAAAACAATATAAGAAAAGATACTTTGCTTAGGCTAAGACTCATCAGCACTGTTATCCAAGTTCGTGGAAAATTTGAATGAAAAGAACGAATTTTTTCCCACAAACTTTTTGAAGCCCCCCCTCATATGATATTTGTAAAAATATCTTACAATAATTCTCACCTGATATTTTAAAAATCCACCTTTATAAGGAATTTTTCTATATTCTGAATGAAAAAGCCTTTCACAATGCAAATGAGGGGGACTGGAGTGGAGACCCAGAGCCCAACTGCAGACAATTGGATATCCCCTACAGAAGGGTTATAAGGAAGGGATGATTCAACCAAGGTGCAATAGCACCAATGAAACACATCATTTCTCTATTTCCTGAACTCCCCTAACACCATGACCCAGGTTCTACCTTACAAATCTGGCTAGACTGGAGGACACACATTAGGTACAGAGAAGAGCTCTCGACACAAGGAATTCAGGACAGATAAACCCATCAGGAACAGTACTCGTAGTAGCAATATGAGGGTAGGAGGATGGTCGGGGAGGGGGAAAGAGGAGAGAAGGGGAACCCATCATAAGGTTGGATATATAGCCCCTCCTCAAAGGGGATAAATACCAGAAATGTGGGTGAAGGTAGACAATAGACAGTGTAAGATACGAAATAATAACAATATATAATTGATCAAGGATGCATGAGGGTGGGAGCGTGGGGGAGGAGGAACTTATAACAAGGGTTCAAGTAGAAAATGTTTTGAAAATGATGATGGCAACATATGTACAAATATGCTTGATAAAACTGATGTATGGAATGTTGTTAAGACCACCAATAAAATGATTTAAAAAGAAAGAAAAAGTCTTTACTTCCTTGGCAGAACTGCCTCTGGATCATTTTGAATCAGAAGATTATATAAAAACTCAGTTGTAGTTACACAGAACTGAATTTTTTACCGCTTGCTTAGAATCCCATTTTAACCCAGAATACCACTGAGTTGATTAGTATTGAGTTGAGCTGGACTCCAAAAAACCTACAAAGAAGTTCCTGAGACTATAAATCTTTATAAGAGTAGATAGCTTCTGAAGACAAAGCAGGTGCATAAGCAAATGTGGTGAAGAAAGCTGACGGTGCCTGACTATCAAAAGATATAGCATCTGGGGTTTTAAAGGCTTGAAGGTAAACAAGCAGCCATCTAGCTCAGAAGCAACAAAGCCCACATGGAAGAAGCACACCAGCCTGTGCGATCTCAAGGTGTCGAAGGGATCAGGTATCAGGCATCAAAGAACAAAAAATCGTATCATTGTGAATGAGGGGTAATGCAGGGTAGAGACCAAAAGCCCATCTGTAGGAAATTGGACATCCCCTTACGGAAGGGTCATGGGGAGAAGCGGATCCAGTTGGGGTGTAGTGTAGCAACGTTGAAACATACAACTTTCCTCTAGTTCCTAAATGCTTTCTCCCCACCCACTATCATGATCCCAATTCAACCTTACAAATCTGGCTAGACCAGAGGATGTACACTGGTACAGATAGAACTGGAAACAAAAGGAATCCAGGGTGGATGATCCCTTCAGGACCAGGGGTGTGAGTGGCGATACCGGGAGGGTGGAGGGAGAGTGGGATGGAAAGGGGTTACCAATTACAAGGATCTACATATAACCTCCTCCCTGGGGGACGGACAACAGAAAAGTGGGTAAAGGGAGACGTTGGACAGTACAAGATATGACAATATAATAATTTATAAATTATCAAGGGTTCATGAGGGACAGGAGTGCGGAGGGAGGTGAAAAAATAAGCTGATGCCAGGGGCTTAAGTGGAGAGCAAATGTTTTGAGAATGATGAGGGCAATGAATGTACAAATGTGCTTTACACAATTGATGTATGTATGGATTATGATAAGAGTTGTATAAGCTCCTAATAAAATGATTTTCAAAAAGTTCACAAAATAATATTAATCTATTTGACAACCTAACAAAACAAAAAAAGAGTAGACAGCTTCATCTTTCACTCAGTGATTGGTAGGTTTGAACTGCCAACCTAGCAGTTAGCAGCTAACCATTGAACCCACAGCACCACCAGAGCTCTTTACCCAGAGGATCGTCAATGCAAACAGAAAGCCACAATAATCCTGTCAATTTTTAACACCACAAAATAATCATATCACCCAGTACATTTTGAAAAGTTATACCAGCATTTCATAAGCGATTATAAATTTCAGTTAAAAGGGAAAAAAGGATACACATCAATAGAAATACTGAATATTGACTTAAATTATATTAAGACAGTTACAAAAACTTGTTTTTATCAAAATAATACAAACACTTGCTTCAGTACATACACATACCAAAAAAATCAAAGCAGTCCCCTAGAGTTCCTATCTCTCAGAAAATATACAACGCAATGAACAAAGTAGTGAGAGAAGAAAACGCAGAAATGTTCTTATTCTAATGATTTCCCATGTTACTGTACAAAGCATTTCCTTCCTCAATTTAAGTTTTAAGAAGTAGGCATAGTTTTGTTTGGCTGACAACTTATTCCAAGATTCAGAAAACTTCAACAAAGGAGATGCTTTAATGGCAAGAGTCGTTCACTTTCTTTCATTTTATCAAATAATTTTGATTTTAAGTACCATGATTATACTTCAAAGACCCTTGGTGCACAGTGCTTAAGCATTTGGATGGAGGTACTGAAATACTGGACTTTAAAATCTATCAGCCACACCAAGGGAAAGAAAAATGAGGCAGTCTGCTTCTGTAAAGATCCCCCACACCCCCCACTGGTAGGGCCCCATGGGGTAGCTCTCTTCTCTCCTATCTTTCTATTTCTATAAGTTTAAATTGTCAATGACAGTGGGATTTCACTATGCTTAATAT